GGGGACCTATAGGAAGAAAATGAAAAATGGAAAATTAATTGCAGGGGTAGTTGGTAATTGGTTTAATAAAGAGGAAGGAACAAGTTAGATAAATTCTTCTATTTTTAATGGAATTTCCACATGTTAAAATTTTTTTTGAGAAAAATGCATTTATATTTAGAAAAATACTATCTTTGAAATAGTAAATATCTGTAATGATCAAGCTAATGAGACAAAATGAGAAAGCCTAAGTAGTTCTATACCTATAATATAAAGATAAAAGAGAGATTTCACTTAAGCATATGATAGGGCTATGTAATACAGGAATTATATATAATTTTTATTTATGCAGAAGTTACAATAACATTATAATCACATCAAGTGTTGAATAGAAGTAAAAGGTATATACAGCAGTGTGTACTGTTTGCTATTCAGTAGACTGATTAATAACAATTTGGTAATTATTTTTAAATTTTGAAATCATGATTTAAAAATTTTTTAATTGTTGTCTGTATACCCTAAACTGGGAAAATGAACTATCTCCCAAATTCATTTCACTTTTAGAGCACTAGTTTAACATTAAACAATCTAGAAATTAGATATTTGTTTTATAGAATATGTTATGTATCTTCTACTTTCTATAACTCTTCATATAAAATATTTAGTAGCTTTTAGATAATTACATTGTCATGTACTAGAAGGTGCATTAGTCTTGGCACCAAAAGGAAACTTAAGCATCCTCTAGACCAGCAGATCTCAAATTCTTTTGTTTCAACAGACCACTTTACCTCTCATCCTCCCATTATCTCTTGGTTCAGGCCACCATCATCTCTTCCTGGATTGTTACAGCAGCCTTGTAGTGGACTCTCTGCTCTTGCCCTAACTTCTTATAGCCTATTCTCAATACTTTAAAGGCAGAGGAAGCCTTTAAAAAAGGCGAAGTGGGGGACTCATATTTTATTACTCCCCTGCATACAACCCCCATGACTCCTCATCCTATTCAGAGCAAAATTTTAAGTCCCTACCTACCATGATCTGTAAGATCATCATTTGACCCCTGTTAACTTCCTGCCTCAACTCACCATGTCCTTCTCTTTCAATCTTAGTTCCTTCTATGAGGGTGCTTGAATTTACCAAGAACTTTCTTGTCCTAGGGCATTTATACTGTTGCTTATTCCTAGGATATTCTCTCTCAAGTCTACATTTAGTAGACCAATAGATTTTAACCTGCCTTTCCCTTTTGAATGGATGTTTTACCCGTGCATGATTTTGTAACACCATGCACTGATGATTTGGAAAATACAGGTTCACCAAGTAATGCATATTTTCCAAATGTTGACATAGTTTAATATGTAATATTTTAAATTATACTTGTTAATATCAATACCCATCTCATCAGAAAAATCTTTAAGTGTTGAGAAGCTGTCAAGGTCATGGTGGCAGATATGTTCACCAGAATTCCTATTTTTTGCTTGAAAACTTTAACTTTATCACTGTCAGCAAAAGCTGTCAGTTTTCTTGAAGTGACCAACTTCACTCATTTTCAAGAAAAAGTCTGCTAAACACCCAAGTCTGAATAACCATAGTTTGTCTTTCAGTGGTTCATTCAAGTAAAAATGATATTTCATAGAAAAAAACTATACTTATGCTCACAACTCAAACAGTGCAGAAGGCTCTAGTATTATGAAAATAATTTTGACTTCATGGGTCTCTGGAAAGGATCTTAAGGTCTCTCAGGGGTCCATAGCTTTGAGAATCACTGTTCTAGTCTAGTTATACATTTTGCATAAAATAAGGTGTGAAACTCAGAGTAGGTTATTAACCCAAGGCTATATATACACTTAATGACAAAGCCAGAGTCAGAATCCTAGTATTTTACTCTTAATTCAATACTCTTTCTAGTGTTCAGAACATCCAATTCTATGAAAGAAAGATGCAACCTCCCCAAACTGTGCATTTAAAACACATTGCGAAGTATATATACAACAAAAAGTAACCTAAATCTGTTTTGGAACAAAATATGGAATGATTAGATAAAAGTTAAAAGTACATACATGTCTGAGCTTTCTGTATACTTGGAATGGCTTTCTGTATACTTGGAATGGTTAAAGACAGTGTTACCTAAAAAATTATAGTAAACCTATAGTTTTCAGAAACAGTACATTCATATGAACCATTGAAAAAACACCTAAAGAATTTTTTCTTTGTTTGGTTTTCTTAACAGCTATTAAAAATAGGTTCCGATGTTGAATTATTACTCAGAACATCTGTTATACAAGGTATTCACACAGACCACAATACACTGCGTAAGTAAAATTAAAGAAAAATATTTTCTGTTTGCAGTGTTTTAAAATATTGAACCATTACAGTGCTTTTAACGCTCATTAGTAAAACAGCTTGATTTTGCCAGTGTTCTATCTGTTGTCTACATTTGTAAGGCTACCATTTAAAAATGCTGAATTATGAAACTTTGTTTTACCAGATTTTTTTCTTTTTTTAAATTTGTTTTTTCTTTTTAATCATAACTTCTGGTCGTATTATGAAACTACAGTTACAAAGGTAGTTGTATGACTTTTTTATCACATTTATTTGGGCTCTTAATATTTCTGGTATCATTTATCGCCTATCTTGACTAAGTCTGTTTCTTTACCTCTTATTCTATGATTAGAGTTATTTTAATTCAGAAGAATTAGAATTATAGGAAGTGGAAATATAGTAGAGAATCCTTTATTATACCTCCAGACTCTGGTGGGGCTTCAGCAGAATTTCATTTCACATTATGTTTTGTTTTTATTCCCTAAAGTCTCTTTGGGGACAACAACAACAAATTATGACATTCACATTTTTTAAAGGCTTTTTTTTCCCTTTAAACTACTGAAGTATAAGATACAAACATAAAAGTGTCCAATTTTGACAGTGAAATATTTATGTAACCAAAATCCATATTAAGCTGTATAATATTACCAGTGTCCCAAAAGCCCCCTCAGGCCCTTATGTCCCTCCCATGCACCCCGTCCCCACAAGCATAACCACTGTCCTGACTTCTAACACTATTGATTTTTAATTTAATAAAGTATTTGTACTTTATATAAGTGGAATCATAGAGGATTACTATTTTGTCTGGCTTCTTTCTGTTAGCGTATTTTTGAAATTCATTTATGTTGTGTGTAGCAACATTTCTATGAGTATATATGTATATCTAGCAGTGAAATTTTCAGGTTATAGGGATTATGTGTGTATTCAGCTTTAGTAAATACTGCTAACCAGTTTTCTAAAGTGGTTAGTTAGACTAACTTACACTTCCAACAGCAGTGTCTGAGAACTCCAGTCGCTTTATATCCTCACTAACACTGTGTCTCTTTAATTTTAGTCTTTCTGGTGGTTGTGTAATAGCATCAGATTATGATTCTAATTTGCATTTCTCTGCTAACTAATGAAGTATTAACACTTTTTCAGTTGTTTAATGGCCATTTCTTTTATGAAGTGGCTGTTCAAGTCTTTCACCCATTTTTCTAAGCAATTATTTGCTTTTTTATTATTTACTTGAAGGAATTCTTTCTGTGTTCTGAATATAGATCCTGTGCTGGATATATGTATTATAAGAATCTTCTACTTTGTGGCTTGCTTTTTTATTCAGTAGTGTTATCTTTTGATGAGAAGTTCTTAATTGTAATGTAGTCCAGTTTGTCCATTTTTTTCCTTTATGGTTAGTGAGTAAGCCCTCTTTTAATGTCAACAATGAGTTCTGGGACTTTAAGTGAAACAACGTATAAGGCAACCACTTTTACCAGAGGCTAATTGATATAAGCAAGAGTTAAGTTCCTAGGGCATCTCATCAATGTTACAACAAAACAAGGTTAAACAAAATGGCACTATTTGAGGACCTGCTGTACTTTGGAGTCCTGTTTAAAAAATCTTAAAGCAAACTCATAAAGAAATTCTCCTATACTTTCTTCCAAAAGCTTTATTGTTTGGTCTTTTCTATTTGGTTATTTTTATTAACTAGAGTTGATTTTTGTATGTAGTGTGAAATAGGGATCAAGATTTACTTTTTACATGTGAATATTCAGTTAATCCAACAT